ATTGCAAAGTGGAAGCCTGGACAGAATCCATGTTCTAATTCTTTTTTTTTTTTTTTTCAGTATGGCCATGGTACTGGTATTTCAAACAAAAACATTCAGTCCGATGAGTTGCTTTGAAGCACATGCAAAATGAGTGTTTGGATTACATATTACACTATTTCTGATTATATCGTTTCTAGCTTGGCTACAAGTTTTCATCATCAACATACAGTCTAACAAGCACTTGACAGATGAGTAACACAATACTAACCATGATTTAACCCTATCAAAGCTGTCTTCAATATCGCAACAATACTGTTCCCTTTTAGTTTGTGTCTTCAACCTACAGTCTAACAAGTTGCTTTGCAGCCCTTAGCAGATAAGGAAAAGGACATTAACCATGTTATAATGCCACCAATGCTGTCTCCAATATGGCAACAATACTGTCTCCTTTTAGTTTGTGTCACCAACATACAGTTTAAGTGACACAATACTAACCATGCTATAATGCTGTCTCCAACACGGCAACAATACTGCTCCCTACTAGTTTGTGTCATCAACCTACAGACTAACAAGTTGCCTTTATGCCCGGTGCAAACAGAACACTAACCATGTTAAAATACTGCCAATGCTGTCTCCAACATGGCAACAATACTGTTTCCTTCTAGTTTGTGTCATCAACATACAGTCTAACAAGTTGCTTCGAAGCACTTGGCAGGTGAGTGACTGGGCAGCAACCATGTTGGTTAAGGTATTTATAGATACAAGGATAGCAGAAGACATAACCAGAAGATGACAGTGCTGTTGGGTTGGTGCAAACTTTCTTGCAAAGGGGACACTGGGCAGGATGTGGTGGAAGCTTTACGCCATGTTGGGCAGGCTAAAAAAGACAAAAAACATCTTAAGCCAACTAAATACCTCTTCAAAGAGGGTTAATATTAAGGAGGAAGCTAATGGAACATGAAGCACTTGCACTCCCCGCCCCCCACTCCAGGGTGGACAATATTAACCCTCCCCACTGGTCCCCTCAACTTGATAAAGAAAGACAATAAGAAGTAAAGCAATCATCTAAGTAAACAACCAGATGGCAAAGGTTTGAGAACTTCAACATCAAGCCATTCATTTTGGCGTAAATGCTGTTTGTAGATATTCTGTATACTTCCTCCATCCTTCTTTGTCTTAGAATGCTTCTCTCAACCCCTCGATCATCTTAAGTTTAGGGTGCATTACATTATTTTGATAGTTGATGCAGTTTCCTTTTCCCTGTTGCTGCATCTCAGCCTAGGGGTATACAATGGTAAATTCAAGACCAAGACTTAAGCATATTTATCAATTCTGCACCTGAGACTTTACTTCTAAAAAATTCCAAGACTGAGACACTCAGTGCTGAAAATATTGAGCTAATGGCACAAATAAAGCTAAATAAAATTACTCAAAATGCTGAAATGGAAGCTAGCACGGTGTAAGCCTACCATGAATATACTGCTTTGTCTTGTTTTACTGCTTTTGAAAAACAACTAGCTCAGTTCAATAAGCTGTGCCCATGAACTCTGAAAAATTTGACTAACAGAAAGAAAAAAAAACACAAATCTGAGACTCTGAGACCCCTTAGCAAAAAGATGCAAGATACCAAGATGCAAAACTCACTCGAAAATGAGACTTGCTTCCGAGGTTTCGAGATCAGGGCAAATTTTTCCGAGACCAATGTTTTTCAAGGTACCATTCTATACCCTTCACCCTCAGGAAACATTCCACTCAGAATATCTCCTGGGACTTGTTTATAACCATTTTGGGAGACCTGCAAAACAACCCCAGGAGAGAGGTGGTACTTCCATATGTGGGCTCTTTAGGCTCTGGAACAGGGTATAAAACTCAACCTTCCTCTCTGGAGGATGAGTATATTTTACTTCATTTTGACTGACTGGAACAGAGTCAGATTTGTTCCCTGAGAATCCCTTACTATTCTTGATCACACTTAAATACATTCCATTGCCCAAAGAACAAACAACTTCTCAACAACAATGTTGTGTGCATTTTTGTTTTTGCTAATTGACTGAAACAGTGGTGCAAATTCCTCTCTTTTTGCCTGGAACAGGTCCAGAGTCTCAAAGACTCAGTAACACTTCCCCGTAGTTAAGTTATGAGAGTACCCTCCTCCCCCCAGGGTTAAACAACAATAACAAATAGAACCATAGTTAGTAGAAGAGACTGATTAGGAAAGCCGGCAAACATCAGAGTTGAAAACATTGGTGCTGTAGGCTATATTGGAAGCTCCTTGGCCGTGCACGATCCTTTGTTTTTCGTTAACAAATTGTGACTGAATAAATTAATACAATGTTTCTATTGGTCAGTAAGTTAAAAGTGATAGGAATGCTATTGAACATTGTGCACAGTCAGGTCCAAAAAGGGTAACAAAAACATATAACAAAGGCAGGGCTGTCAACCCCCCATGTCCTCAAACATTAAGAATTGATAGGGAAGAGATGATAGATGACGTCATATCGCATGGTATATGAAGTCATTTGTGCAAAAAATACTCATTGACCCACTCATCACAAATTTGCAATGTTTCACATTATTGCGTACATTGCAATGGCAAAATATACCATACCGAAGTTTACGAGGAAACATTCGATGTTAACAGTAAAATAGCTCAAACATTGCAAAATATCTAAAAGTTTATTGTCAGAAAGTCGAGTGTACAATAGTGTGAATATCCAGGAGATTTCATACTCTAATCTGGAGACCAGGAGGTACGGTCCAAAATCTGGAGTCTCCTGGATTATTCGGGAGAGTTGACAGCACTGCAAAGGGTTTCCCAACCATTCCAATTTAACTATGATAGAACTAACAAAAATAGCACTTTACCTTAGGTTGAGGAGGTGGGGGTGGAATTGGTAATTGGGTAACAGCTTGAACTGCTTCCTTGTTCTCACTTGAATACCACCAGTCTATAAACTTCAAAAAGAAGACTATGACTGGGAGACCATTAGCTAAAACTGACGCCAGCAAATGTGCTAGTGATCTTGGAATGGCTGATATTCTTTCGGTTAATGTCTTTCCACTGAATAAGCCAGTATGAACATTCTGCATGCTGTGTGCAAGCATATCTTGTCTTGTAAGCCTTTGAAGTGAGACTCCAATGACGTGCAGTAAAGGAGAATGAACATTACAAAACTTGAAAATGTACAACAGATAATAAGACAGTATCACTGTTTCCCAAGAAAAATGCAACCAAGGATAAACATAGATAAATACTCTCTTCAGCTGAAGGAAATATGAGCGTTTTCTGGAAGAGTAGGAGGCTAGATATCCGGTCACATTTTCTTCCCTTATTCGTTCGAACAGTTGATCAAGTTTGAGCTTTGCATAGGGAACCACAACAAGCATTATTAAAGACAAGTATCTGTGATAATTTGAAATCCCTCCTCTGCTTTCTCCATTTTCAACGTTGATCGCTCTTTTAAGACCATAAAAGTGTTCCGAGATTGACCCTCCGAAGTTTTTCAGGTAGTGATTCTGGACAATGTAATTTAAAATGACGTACAACTCGTCGCCTACACGCCATAACCAGCCCCATCTGTCGGGATTTGAGGTTGCTAAAACTTTTAAGCCATAAGAAACAGCAGGTCTAAGGACTGTAGCCATAGATTCTTCGGCGACTATCTCAAATATCGTAGGGTTTGCATTTGTCGTTCCTTGGTTTAAATGTGCTGCAAATTCCGCCATCTTGAAAGTTGGAAAGTGCTGAGTAACCAGGCTAACCTTCAGAAGCGTAACATGAATGAATAACCTGTCTGAAGCAAATCCGCTGCCCAAAGCAACCAAAACAAATTTTCCACATTTTGTTTACAAAAGAAAATTCGTTTTAGTAATGTCGAAATTATGGATAGGAAACCAGGGCATTTGACAAAATCAGTGCAGGAGATCGCTGGATCTTTATTCTGGATAAAGGTAGTGCTCTATTTTACAGGGAAAGAACGTTTTGTTTATGTTTCAAAAGTAGTCGAAGCATGCATTTTTTACAGCTGTCAGCTCTAGTTTTTTATTATTAAGTCTGTGAAATAACTTTTTATTGCACCAGGTTGTTGGAATAGGAAATGATGGCGTGGGGAAGACTTGTCTAGTGAAGAACTTCTGTGAAAAAAAGGTGCAAAAATGATCTAACTCTAACTTAACCTGCGATCAGGCTCCCGCCAGGCTTCTCCTGAAAAGAACACCTGATCACAGGCGTGAAAACCACAAATTTTTTCAGTTTATTAACATACTTTAAAACAGAATATTATTGTTTATTGAAAAATGGAAGACACAATATTATTATTTTAATTTTATCCCCTGGAGAAGATTTCATTTGAACACATAATTTAATAATTGAATGTAATATTCTAATGATAGGAAAGTTAATTCTGATCATTGTATATTTCCTTCTTAGTTTTCTAAAAGCTACCACCCAACAGTGGGAGTTGATTATGGTAGGTCTATTAGACAGTGCTTGATCCCCATATATGATAATGATGATGATGATAAGGATGATGATGTCACAATGATGTGATGTGGTGATGATGATGATGGTTTGATGGTGATATTCAGCGATGATGATCAAGCTTGATGATAAGATGCTGATGCCGAGGCTGATTATGATGAGGACAGTGATGATGATGACAAGATAATGATGTGATGTGGGATAATTTGTTATACAGCTGAATCCCGGTGACTCGAACCCTCTATAACTTGAACCTCCCGCTAAATCGAAGCAATTTACATTTCCCTTCAGATCATTTTCTATATAATTTTACCCTTGATAACTCGAACTCCCGGTAACTCGAACTATTTTGTCCTTCCTTTGAAGGTTCGAATTATTGGGAGTCGACTGTAATTTCAAATCTAATACTAACGATGATGTGATGGTGTTTGAGGTGGTGGTGATGATGATGTCATAAAATTATGATGTTGATGATGATTTAGGTATGTTTACATCTGAGGACTTCCTCAAAAGAGAACACTTTGAGAAAAGCATGCCTATTCAACATCATGGTTATTTTTTTTTAACTTGGAAACTAAAATTAACCATAATATTTTTTTGAGACCACTAACATCATGAAATAAATTTCACTCTTAAGCTTGTTTGCTATTTATACTTTCAGGATTCAAGCTGCACAAAATTAATGGCATTGACTGTGAGTTTCCTTTTGCAGGCAAAATCAAACTCAGTAGATTTTTTAAAAAAAAATAAGTGGTTTGAACCACTTTTTTTTATGTCAGCATTAATACTAAGTATTCTAAGTGTCAGCATTAAGTAACCTTATAAACCTCTGAAAAGACATGGTACCTACCACTTCTGTAATCATTCTAGGAAAGATACATCATTATTCCCAACAGAAAGTTTTGCTTTCATTCCCTGATCCCCTACCTCAGGAAATTCCAGTTTAGCCCAATCATATTCTTGGTTTGTAACCATGTCAACTAAAATGGCTGCCATTATGACGTTTACAAGCTGAAAACCTGAAATTCTGTTCTGGCCTGCATCCCTTTAGTGATTAGAGAATTTTTGGAGAAAGTGATGAACAGCTTAACTGTGACATAAAAAGTCTGGTATTATTAGAAGTAAACAAAGATGGCAGTGATAAGATGTGCTTTTATTCCCTCTTAGACAGGATCAATTTCTGGGATTTTGGTGGCCATGCAGATTATGATGAAATAAGAGTTGAACTTTATGGGCAGACACAGGTTAGAGTTAAGCTGATGAGTAGTAAAAAAGATCTATACAATAGTTACCTGACGGTATAGCCATAAGTTTCTGTTAAGTCTCCCTTACATTATATTTCAGACCAAAATGCCAAAATCCAGCTTTGTTCCAAGTTTTCCTTGGCAATTTTCAGATGTGACATAACCTGTCAAGCTTGTTAGGAGCCCCACCCCCCCATTTGCTCGGTTCTAATTCCCTTTTGCTGACTCAAATAGCGTGAACTGGCCTCAGCGGACGAGGCTAGCCTCATTCTTAGTTACATATTTAATAATTATTGGTGTATGAATGCAAATAATTTTCAAAGTGTACTCTGATTATTAGGGAAGGTTAATAAATTTGTTGTTGACTGTGTACTTGCAGGCTTGTATTCTGGTGTTCGATGTTTCAAACAAGTTATCATTTGATTCTCTGGAGTACTGGCTGCAAGAGTTTACTAGTAATGGTGGAAAACAAGCTGTTATCGCTGTGGTAGCTAATAAGGTTGGTCTTGTCCAACTGACTCACAGGCATTAAAAATTCAAACTATAAAACCCCTCCATTCCCAACAAGTTCCAAATTCCGCCGATTAACTCAATTGGATAAGCGCCAGTCCACCAAGCGGGAGGCCATTGGTTCCAACCCTGGTCGGACCAACACACAGGGTCTTTAAATAACTGAGGAGAAAGTGCTGCCTTTGCAAAGACAACTGCAAACAGTTAAGACTTTCTAGTCTTCTCATATAAGGACGATAAACTGTAGGTCCCATCTAACAACCCTTGCAAATTTAAACAATTCTGCAGGACGTTAAAGAACCCACACACTGTTTGTAAAGAGTAGGGGACCTAGTCCCAGTGTGGTGGTCTATCTCTCATGGAGGAGGGGGAGGGACTGTTATGGGCCCGCATAGTGGCATGTCACACTGTTGCGAGAGCCTGCCAAGAATTGGCGAACCTAAGTAAAAATTAAATCAATAAATAAGGTGAATGGCATTGAACTTAGTAGAAACTAAAAGTACTTTATAAGATGTTTCATTTGAGTCATAATCATGCCAGACTTAACTTCATTCAGAGACTCGTCACCTTTTTATGTTAGGACTACCTTCACGTCTTTGAGGACATCAAGTGATCTCAGAATTACTGAAGATGGATTATGCATCTCATGTACTATACAGGAGAATGCTGCTTTACCAAGCCCTCATACAGTTTCTTGGACCTCCCAATAACTCATATCAAAATTAAAGCTGACTTTCCTTCCCAAGCCAAGCAATGTAAATATCCCCACAAGCACCCCAATTTGTTGAAAAAATAATTCAAAATAGTTCAAACCAATTTTGCTCACCACAGAAGGCTTGAGAACTGTGGATTCCATATTTGCACAAAAATGGCTATGGTGCTCATAAGCTACCTTGAAATATTCTTATTTTGATCATACTTTTATTCCCATTACAGACTGATTTAAACTCCAAACGCGCTGTAAGCAGCAAAGATGGACAGAGATGGGCCAAAGCCCATGACCTAAGGTCTGTAAACATTCGTTGACTTTTTCTGAATTCTAATTAGCAAAGGTTGTTTAAATAAAAATACAAAAACAAGTAAAAAGTAAACAAGATAAAATTGAATGACGTTTGACTGGAAATTGGTATGATGATATCAATGACACCAAAACGTTAAGGTTTATCTGCAATCACTTTTAACTTGTGTTTCTGAATTGTTGGTCTTTATACCACTGAGCTCTTGAAACATTTTATCTTTGCTTGTTTTGAGACAATTTTTTTTATTGCGCAGATACTATGAGACATCAGCATCTACTGGACAAGGTGTTCATGAGATGTTCAGTGGAGTTCTCTCGGCAGTTGTGGAAGCCAAGCTTGTAAAAGCCAAACCTGTCATCAGCACAGATCAAAGTAAACAGAGATGAACCCAAAGAAAATTGACATTATTTTCTTAATACCGGTAGATTGTAAATCTTGTATTTAGGGAGAGTTTGTTTAAACATTCTTGGCAACCAGCAGTTGGTCAGGGAATTAGGACCTTATTATAATTACTATCTAAGGACAGTGATGGCAGCTTAATGTCACTTGAAAAGAGAATTAATGCATAATGCAAGGCAAAAAAAAGTTAATAAGCGCCCACCCCCTCCTCCTCCCAATCAAACTCAAATAAGCGCTCACCCCACACCACCCACTTGAGTGAATAAGTTCTAATAAGAGACTTCCCCGAGGACCAAGTTTTCTTCAGAGTATTTTACAGAAACCTTGCTTTGTTACTCCTTCACTTTTCGTTATTAGCATTTATCGTTTTGGGGCAAAATAAACATACTTCACTTGCTGAAAATGGTGAAAATTTTATAAGCACCCAACCTCGAATAAGCACCCGTCTCGAATAAGCGCCCACTCTCAAGGTCCAAAAATTTAATAAGCGCCCAGGGCGGTTAATCGAATAAATATGGTAAGGCATTTTCACGTCATATTCATATCACAGTGATGAGAAAAAAGTGCGATGCACATGCAAAGTTGTTGTTTTGCTCATTAAACCTATTGCTTTCTTGATATTCTCATTACTGTTGTTGCATCTTAAGTCCCCTAAAGTCACCCACAATGGCAGAATTTTAACTTTAAGGAGGGGGAGGCGATTCATCTGCAAGGAATGACAAATTGTTTTTTTAATAATTACTGTATATAATAAAGTAGTAGATTTAGTTTTGCAGAGTAGTAACAATCATACAGGCCTTATTTGGTTAATATTATTGTAGGTCACAATGATATACTTAGTGTTAAAGAAAAGCACGTTTTTCTGAGGTAGATGTACATGTAGGTGGTCACTGTGATAATTTATCGGAGTAATGATACATGCATTTTTCTATCATACAACAATTTTGATTATTGCCTTCTAGATTCAAACATTTAAAAAATGAACAAAATGTAACTATAATGAAAATGCCTCTGACTTTGTACTGTTTTTATTTATTGCTGTGTAGAAATCTATTTACATTAAAAATTATTTTGAAAATAAATTAATATTATACCACAATCTACATGTAGGCATGTTTTGTTCCTTTAAAGGGGTTAATGCAAGGCATCCATTGTGTGATTTTGTGAAAAAAACTAATTATTAAGAGTATAGAGGGAGATATTTCTTGCAAAACGTATTAAGAAGCAAAAAAAAATCCTGCTGACAAAAATCCTCCACTTCTCATTCCAAAATAGTGGTCTATAAATGTTAACTCCATAATTATAGGGCCTCCAAGTTCTTGCAGCAGGCATACTAGTGCACTTATTTGTTTTTGTTGACTTTGCTTTCCTAGAAAAACTTCAGGGAATGATGTGGCCTTAAAGATTTAAGTTCACCCTTGAATGCAAAATTTTTTGACTATCTCATATCTATTACAGGTTAATTTTTCTGCTCAACTAACTTGGTCTTTCGCCCATGCTTGATAAAAAAATATAAAAGTTATAGAGTTCTTAAGTGTGACATCATAAAAAATCAAATTTATGAAATTATGGGATTTGTGGGGATATTCTGAAAGAACAACATCCAAGAAGCCTACTTGCCAAAAACTTTGGAAGGATTTGTCTGGAGTCATCAGAGCATAACTGGGCTAATATCTCAGAGACAATTTGCCCCAAAATGCTAATTTTTGGTAAGTAGGCATCTTGGACGTTCTTCTTTCAGAATATCTTGACAAATCCCATAATTTTGCAAATTTAATTTTTATGATGTCATCACTTTAAACTCAGTTACAGTTGAGCAGAACTGTGAAGAGTTCACACCAACTTTAGGGGTTCTTGACCTGGACCTAGAGAAACAAATGAAAAATCAACATTACGTTGCTGATATATTTACTGCTGTTCCATTTTGCAGTCTTGATAATTATTGTGTCTAATATGGGCGTAAAAGTCTGGAGAATGGTTATATAACCTGTGCCAAAGATGGAACTAAACTTCTGGTCAAGTTCTTCTGGGTAAAAGCAAAAAAATCCTGGTTCCTGGGTCCCCACCTGTGTACCAGGATTTGAGTATGTGCCATGATTGGCCCTTTAAAGAAGTCACTGTCAATTTCCTTACCATGCTGGGTTTTACTGTATGGATAATCATTATTGCACATACATGACTGGAGAGATAATCAGATTTTAGGTCACCTATAATCAATTTTGCACTTCCAACAAAATGTGGTAAAAACAGTACAGCATGTACCTGTGTTAAGATGAGGACAGTTCATCATCATCTCTGTGCTTCTTCTTTCTCTTTTTAATCTTTGGTTCTTCTGCATCTCTGTCAGCCTCAGTGCGTTTTCGCTTCTTTCTCTTTTTGCTCTTTCTTCTTTTCTATAATGAAAGAGTGTAGAAGCAGTTAGAGAAGATGTTAAAGGATCAAGAGATCAGATGATCAAGGTCTGGTTCTTGAAAGGCCGACTTAGTGCTAATCCAGGATTAAAATTTTAAACCATGTTATTGTTTACCTTCTTATAGATAGTTTAAAATATATAGATTAAAAGTTTGCATTACCATGACTAGATCTCAGAGTGAAGGAACAACGACACCCGATAAGCTACAATGACATGTTCCAAACAACAAAACTTGGCATAAAATTTCGCCTAAACCTGGGTTAAACTTGAACATCTTTCAAAGAAGCACACCTTTGTCCTTTATTTCTCTGATTTATTACAAAATTATCTTATTGACATTACTAGAAGAGACTACTAGTCTTCTAGAGAATTATATATTTCTGTTGATGACTGCATAGCTGAAAGGGAAATTATTAACAAGCAAATTCAAACATTGGATTTCCAGCGGGATAATGAAAGTACACAAGAAAAGCAAGTAAATCAAAAGCTAAAGTCAATAGATAAATACAGTAGAACCCCAATAACTCAAACTCAGATAAACTGAACTCCCTGCTAACTTGAACTAAGTCCAATTTCCCTTGGATTTCACCCGACTTTTCAGTCCTTTTTACTCTGATAACTCGAATTCTGGTTCTTGGAACTCCACCCGGATGCCATCCCATTAGCTTTTCTTTTTGTCTAATTGGTAAAAACTTGAACTAACACTGGTCAACACTACAGCAATTTGATTTGACTTGGTGCAATGAACAGATCACATTTTCTCATTAAAAAGCCTAATCATGTTACTGTTGCGTTTCTGATGGAATAAGTTAAATTTGCACTGCACTATACACTGAAGAGCTGAAAAATCATTAAACTATCAATTTTTAATATGGCCCTGTTGGTATTCAACCCATCTTTATGTCATTAGTTTCCATTTCCTTTACAGTAGCAGGGCTCAAAATTAAAAGAATCCTCAGGTCACCTTTTGGCAACCAACTGGAGAAATATAGTCACCAGATGTAAAATTTTAGTTGCCAGTTTGTATAAAGTAAATGATGCAGCTCATAGTATGGCGGGATCCATCAGATTTGATTGTTTGAAAATATCGCAAGCAGAAGTTGGTATAAATTTGGAGGTACACGCAAACTGGCTTTGTTTATGCGATTTGGCACATTTTTTATGACAAAAGCAAAGCAAGAAAAGATGAAATGTTTGTTGTAACTTTACTCTTTTAATTTAAATCTAAATCATAGAGAAATCTGGTCGCCAAAGTGGCGACTAAACCAGAATTTTTAGTCGCATTGATGACTGCATCAGTCACAACTTTGAGCCCTGAGTAGTCTTATAACACTGTTTCATAGGCCATGTTGTCACTTTTCGCAAATTTATCCTAACAAGCCAGTTTGTTCTTAAAGTGCCTACCTTCCTTTCTTCCTCTGATTCACTGTTATCAGAAGTTGATGTTGATGATGACGATGAAGAACGACGCTTGAAAGAAAACAAGCAGAACCTCCTGATTAGCTCACTAGTAACTTGTGCCATTTCCTCAGAAAATTTTTTAATGACAGAAAAAATAAACAGAAAAGAAAAATATTTGACCTGTTTTTCCAAAGCTGTATTTTGCCTAATATTATTATAGTATACATCTCTTCCATATAAGTACTGTAAAATTCAAAAAATAAGCCCTGGGGCTTATATTTTTCAAAGGCCCTTTTTGAGGGGCTTATATTCGGAGGAGCTTATGTACAGAGGGAAATTTGCATTTCAAAATAAATTGGGCTAACCTTATTCTTGGAAGGAAATTTACCGGTTTTCTTTGTTTTACTTTGTATTTGAGGGCAATTTTCCAAGTACAAGCCCCGGGAGGGCTTATATTTGAAGGGGCTTATTTTCGAAATTTTATGGTACTTACAATAACTTGAATAAAAACAGTGATCATGATGATGGTAACAAGATACGTTTTTGCCCTTCTTTTACTTTCCGCAAAAAAATTCAAGATACATAAAGAAACAAACATTTTACTTTCTTTTCATGTAATGCAATCCATTTTATAAAACTAATATAATATTTATTATACAGTCAGGAACAATAACTCACCCTTTTTTTTCGGTGCTTACTAGATTTCTTTTTCTAAAAAAATGTAAAAACACAATAGGTTACCATTATATCCACTTACAAATTTTCCAAACTGATCTTTATATATTTCCTTAAAGAATGAGTTGAGAGAATTTGATAAAAGATCAAAGCAAAGCAGTAGGTGTTCATTTTATAAATTCTCATAACCAAATGTCTTGACAGTGTATGGATATCGTTAAGAGAAAATTGATCTTGGTCACTATTGGGACTTGAAGGGTTAAAAACATCGTTCAGAGAACATATAAAAATGGTCTGAAACATGGTGGAATTTCATACAGCTGTAGTTAGAACATTCATTCGGAACATGCATTCAAAACGAGAGGAAAATGTGAAAACCTGTGACAGCTAATAAAAAAATATGTACCTCTTTTTTCTTTGTTTTTGATGAGCTTTCTGCATCACCCAGTATCTTCTCTCTGTTTTTCTTTAATTCATTTTTAAATTTCTGTAGAGTAATAATAAACAACAGGTTGTAAAAACAGCTTACATGAAATTGTTTCAAGTCGTTACTAAACTAACAGGTCATCTCAACCTTCACAGGAATTGCCATTGTTTAGGCAAACTAACAAATTATAGATCTATTTTACTGTTCAAATTTGCACCGTAAATATTGTCTTTGTACAATTGAAGACATCTACAAACATTTTTCTTGTGCCAAAAACTGGGTTTGAAAATTAACAAAATACAATTTGAAATTTTGAGATGACTTGTCATATGAATATCAGTATTGGGTGCATTATGCTTTCACAAAAAAGACAAATTTCTCACACTGTGAAGAAACCTGCCTATTACTTTTTGATAGTAGTCTTGGTCCTGTACAATACTACAATATTCATAGGCCTGGTTTATTAAAAACAGGTGCACAGCTTGAAAAAAGTTTCATCCATTTCATACAAGTAAATTTTACTTCTGAAAAAGTAAGATCTAAACCTCACTTGTCCACACAATGGGCAAGGGTCCAGGTAGCCACATACACACAAAAAATGTTTAACAAAATAGGCAATCGCTGTGGGTGAGGAAAATTTGAGAGCTGTTTGTCCAACGGACAAAATGAACTTCAAGTTTTTTTCAAGTCCTGTAGCCTTTGAAAGTCTGTCCAGAAAAAAAACAGCCAACATTTTGCAATGCCACCAACAGTTTCTCCATGAAATGATGTTTGAAGAACAAGCACAAAAATTTCATCCCCAGACATCATTTTTGGCAAGGGAACTGATGAAAGCATCGCAAAATGTTGCTTGTTTTCTCAGGTTACTGAAAGTTACCTCATTTAAATGTTCTTCAAAGGCAGCCAATGTCTCTGATCCTGTCTTCCTTTTATTCATCATTTCTTTAACCTCCTCCCTGACAAAAAGAGTAAAAATATAAAAAAAACTGTAGAGTGCAAGCAGTCCCACTCAAGGCTAGGTAGCAGACACAGCAAACATACTTGTAGCCTGAGAAAAAACCTGACACAGGTTTCCCCATGAAATGATGTCTGAGGAAGGAACCCGGAAATTCCATATATTGATGATGTGTCACTACTAAGATCTGGGTAATGCTTCTGATTGGTTAAAACAAATTTTCCTCACAGCATGACCAATTAGTAAAAGCACTACCCAGATCTGGGTGGTATTAAACAGCCAATAAAAACAAGTATTCACCAAATTAATGTTTGAAAGAGAGATAACAATAACTGGCATTGCCGCATTGTCACACAGCTGGACATTTTCTCCCGATTAGCACTTAATCTGGGGTTTAAATTTAACCCAGGTTTCTTTTTCTTGTGCTAGAAAGCATTTTCTCACATAATTTTCTCTGTTATTTTTAGAGCTTCCAATCATAAACTTGTAGACAAAAGGAATTAAAACTGAAATGTTTTAAAAGCTTTCATATCTGAATTCAAATCTCGCACTAACCCAGGGTTATCTTAAACCAGCTTTGAACAACTCGGCCCAGATGACAATGACCAGCAGTTATGTTGGTTGGAGGATATATATTCTAAACCTGCTTTTAACTCATTCTGTGCTTGTAAACGTTCAAACCTACACTGCAAAGGTACTATTACTCACAGTGTTGGTCTATTTCTGTTGAGATAATCTCTTATTGTTGGTCCTGAAGACGGTGGCGGTCCTCTTGCCCTCGCCATTGCAACAGGGTTCACATGCGCCTGAGAAGTAAAATAAAAGAAGTCAAGAAGCCTTGTAGGTGGTTTCTATGAGAAATATTCACAATTTCGGTGAGATTAACGGTTTGCTTTATACTCTCTATTGAATGATTACATTTTTTAAAACAACTCTTACCACTCGGTTGTCCCTTTTCCCCATATTTCTGGACAATTTATCGCGCTAATTTGCACCGCACTCAGTGAAGAAGATATTTTGATGGCGTCTGAATTTCATAGTATACTACATGGGGAGTCATTTGATACTGCAATGAGCCGCTGGACATTCAACATCCTCGTTTCCAGGTTGCGCAGGAAAACTGCTTTTAGTTAATACTTCTGAAACCATCCTTTTCCTTCCCAAAAATGGAAAGGACAGCCGAAATATTTCAAAAGGAAAGATTTTAAAAAAGGATAAATAGGGATAGCGTGCAGTAAATTTTCACTTTCGTGTAATTTTTACTTCCGTAAATAAAATACAAGAAATGTATGAAAGGTCGCGCGCAAACGTGAAAGTTAACTGTCCTTTGTGGAGTTGAGTGAGTTGAGTTTCACTTTTAATTAAAGCGCGACCTTTTTTACAGTGTCATTTACGGCAGACAGTTAACGTCAGATTCAAGTTGAGAATTTTTCAAAATAGAAAACGTTCAGCTAAAAACAGTCCAAAGCAATTATTATAAAGAAAACAGTGAAGAAGCAGTAAACTTCGTCACGTGGTACAAAGGCACGTCTGCCGTCATCCTCGGAGCCCCAGGGGCGGTCAGTCGGGCCGGGAGAAAAGGCGCGACGAAAGTTTTCAAGTACGGGCGAAAGAGCCCCTGGGTACCGACCAGGGCGGATAAAGGTTGGGCGGTGAAACGAGCGCTCCGCTCTTCATTTAATGTGCGATGCGGAGTAGGACTGGCACGAGCGCTCTTTCCGCGCTTCCGGTGCGCTTGAAGGCCGGCGAAATTTTCCTTTTTGCAAACCGGAAATCCAATTTTCTTTCTGTAACTTCAGGCTACAATGTTAAATAGATAAATTCGTTTCATAGCAATATCAATAAACAGTTTCATATGTTTGTGTCTGTACGTCTATAAGTCAAACTTGTTGGTCGTATAATGCCAAAATTTGAGTTTAATTTGAAAGTGTTGAATACCTCCTCCTTCCACTAAATATCACCTAATCGTCTTTCGCCGTTTCGTTTGCAAAAGCTTAACACTTCTTAACCTCAATTTTTACATATGTTAAAGGGGGATAAATTTTTTATAACATAACAAAAAATTAGATTGATATATATTGATATAGTGGCGTTGTACTTCTTCAAACTTTCCTTCTCGGATGCAACGCGCCTGATTCGCGCAATGCGTTGCAAATCCGGCAACCGCATGTAAACAAAATTTATTGAGGTTAGTTGTAAGGTTTTTTCTCCATTTTTCTCTCTAAAACAAAAGAAGGTAAACAGTAAAAACTAAGGGGAAACTAATTTTGAAATTTCGAAGAAACAGAAAGACGTATGAGATGTTTTTTCCAAATTAAAAAGAAGGATGATGGTGATTGAAATTAGCATAATTTCACCTTGCACGAGCTGCACGCATTTATAAAATACACGTCATCTAGTTATGAAGCACGATCTGCTGTCTTTTAGTTTTGCCATGGATGACATGGATGAGATTTTCCTTCGTGTTTTAGACAATACTTAGTTGTTTCTGTTTTGGAATAACATCGACATTGGCGAGTAGCAGAACGAAAATATAATTCAGTGGTAGAGTCATGGAAGTAATAAAAGAAACCCTTTGAAAGAGATGTTTGTCTAGTCCAACTAAACCTCCCGCAAAAAATAGCAAAATTTGCCTCTCGGAGACAGCGTACCAGCACAAAGGAACAAGGAAGAAGTGCAAGAAAACAAATCAAGCTGCCATAATTCAGTAACAGCGGCAGTGTCTAATGTACAAACCACATCGTAAGCCCCGACCGAAGTCGAAAACAAGCGACATTTCTAAGCAGAGTCCCAGTCCACTGCATCACACCTTTTTGCTCGGACGCGCTCGTTTCACCGCCCAACCTTTATCCGCCCTGGTACCGACTCTTAACGAACCATTTCCAAAAATTCAAACGGATGCCGGCTCCTGATTGGGCACAAAAAAACCTTTGTATTATTGTGCCCAATCAGCGAACAGCATCTCCTGAGTTCTTTTCATGTGTTCGTACACGACGGCTATTATCTCGCCATACTTGTCTGGTTCGTTCACCAACGCTGTGCGTGTATATTCGCAAGGGAAACTTTCACTATCTGCTTCCCTAAGCAGAAACGAAGGAACTATCGATGACTCGGAAAAACATTTCGGATGACTATTCCCATTTGCACCAAGAAAATTCTGCTTCTGACCGATCGCAAGGTATCGTAAATAACGTAAATAGAAGGCCTGATCGATAAAAAGCTTGAATTGAATACGTCTTGAAAGCTCAAGCTTTAAAATACCCTCACATGCGTTTCCATGTGTTAGTTTTCGGGAAGACAGTATTTTCAAATGGACGAGGATGTTCTGTAACTGAAAGTTTCCTGATTGCGTGCATTTCTTTGGTGAACGAGCCAGACAAGTATGCACGCGCGCATGCATTCCCACAGGTAAAGTAAGAAGGCTTTCTAAATTACCCGCGTTAAGTAGGTTACGCTACGCACGTGTGATTTATGGAGAATCATGTTAGTAGTTAGCTTTTAACCGATGATGAACACCTCTGGAAATTTCTGTCTTAAGTGTGGTTGTGAGTTTTTGGATAAAAAAAGAAAGAGGAATATTACTGGCGAATTTGGAAAGATTTACCAGGCTGTGTTCAACGAAAATTTAAGTGAAAATGACTCTGTGCCTCGTGCAGTTTGTGCCAGCTGCAAATACCAAATTGAAAAGGCATGGCAACAGTCAAGAAAAGCAGAAGAACAGTCAATTCAATACTTGTCATTGTTAAAAAGAAAACATGACCAGTCTCCTTTGTCATCAAGTTGTGGTGACGAGCAAACAGTGACCCGAATAGAACGTAAGAAGAAAGGTCACAGACTTGTTTTTGAAGCCAACTGCCCTGAACAAATGTGGGTAACAGCAAATACACATCCAGCAAAAGAATTTCCATATATTCTACCAAAGTTTTTCACAACATCTGCAGCAGTGGCTCATGCATGTGTCAGTGAACCGCCATCAACCATACGTCAAGTCAGAGAAGTACATAATGTTGCTACGCAGACTGCAAAATCAAGCTGTCATTGCCAGCCAAGTGCAAAAAAAGGTACATTTGTTAAGGTAAGCAGCCAATATAATATTATTGTTCCAGTAATTATCAGGACAACTTGACTACAAGATCAGCTAAGTTACGTGAACTGATCTTATCATATTCAAACATTACTCACGTCATGTCATATTTGGGGAATGAATTCAAAAATACTAGTCTTGGTCCCCAAATAAAATGAAGGCTGCAGTGTAATAAACCACTTGCGGAAATTCTAGACCTGCACATGTGGCAACTAAACATGTAACCACTTAGTCATCTGTCCAGATTAGTCTTCTTGTAACCACAGGGTATAAGCATGTGTTTTGCAGTAATACCCTAGTTTAGTGGAGTGGCAACTAGTTCTAAATCAGGACCCCTTTTGTCCAAATGTCTCACAAGTTATACCTCAACTTATAATAACATTGAAAAACTGCTAAATTTCATTATCATGGGCAACAAGTAATAGTATCAATCTAAGCAGTATGCCTTTATTTATGAATGCAATGAATAATGATGTTGTTTTCTTTGTAATGATGTTGATTCAGTTGTAATTTTGTTCTTTAATATACAATGATTCTTATGTTCTGATCAAGGTGATTGTGCACTTCAAATCCAAAACTGTGTCAAGGGAATTACCCAAAGATCAAAGTGGTCTGGGGATAGCCCTTTGCTTAAAACGACCTGCTTCAGCAATCAGCGCAGCTGCTTTTAAATCCAAAAGTTTGAGAAATTCTTTGATTCATCGTACCTGCCTCCAAATCAACAAGGAGTGTCGTAAACTGGAGAAGAAATCCTTGCTAAAGAAGACTGCTGTTAGAGACCTCAAACACTTTCAGTGGAATGCAGTTCTCAAAGAATGGATGAAGGAAGCCCCTACCTTTTACAAAGTCCTTACGTCTATAGCAATGCCCCCCACAATTTCTAGGAACCAGAGGAAGAAACAGTTGTTGAAGCCCATAATTGGTTGTGCTGGTGCAGTACTGCTCAAGGGACGCAATTCAAGGTTATCTGCTGTGCAACATCTTGTTGGCCTTTCACTGTTTCTTGGGCGAACACGAAGAAAGGTGAGTTATTGTTTCAGTAGTTCCAGACATGGAGCTAAGGTGGCTGGTCCTACTCTGTGACCAAAATGAAGTTCATGGTACCTTAGTTTTGGTCAAAAATAAAGAGGGAGCATGGCCCCTCCCCTAGTTCTGTGACCTGATACCACTTGCTAGTAATAATAGTATACTGTGTATGACAATTACACCTCTTGTTTTATGTCTTTGATGACTTGTTTTAATAATAACCATCAGGGATTTTCAAGACTACAAAAGCTTGGAGTGACTGTTTGCAAAGCTGTAACAAACAGAAAGATTGCAGAAGTATCACTTGGCTACAGCAAGAAAGTGAAGGCGTGGAGAGCCAATGTTGAAAACAAAAACAAAGATCCCCCAGAAGAGGTACATGTAGTTAGCTGAAATGTTCATTGAATTTGAAACAGTAATAGTAACAGTAATTTCCTAAGAGAAAACAGTTACAGAAATGCATTTTTATTCTTTGTTGTCTTGAATTTATTAAAATGTATGCTCATGTTGGTCCAACATTATTTTGCAGCTTACTGTTGTTGAAGAGAGAGGAGAAGAAAGTACTGCAGTGGATACACCATCTGAAGATCCAAATGTTGGTATGATAATGATTTGCAATTTTTAAGAGACATTTATACGTAGTAGAAATAGCCTGTAGGTGTTCTTAATGCAATAACTATTATACTTACAAATCACTGACAACTGAAATAATCTGCCATTTAATAAAAAAAAAATGACAGCAATAAGGATATTATTACTGTAGATTAAAAGCATAGGCATAAATTTTTTCAGAATACATGTTGGTCACCAAAACCATCTGTAAAATACCCAAATTAGCAATTCAAATAAGCACCCCTTGAGTCTAATATTATTAAAATTAGAGACCCCATTGAAATAAGCACTCCCCCAACCTACCCTAAACAATTACTGAATCTGAATATCTGTGATAGAAGGAGAATAAAATATTTTCAACACCAGAACTATAGGTCTTAAAAGGGAACAGAAATTTGAGAGCGGTCACACAGATTTGTGTTTCTTCTTATAGATACATGTACATTCTGCTACAGTGGATCTATTTACTGGGAATGAGTTGACAGTTTGTTATTTTGTTAGGCCGAGACATAAAACCAAAGTAGCCACCCTTACCAAATAAGCACCTGCTGTTTAATGAGTGCCTCCTCTCAACTCTGACAGACATTTGCTAATTCAAGCATTTACAGTTGTTTTACTTTACTTTTTACCAGACTGTGAAGATGTCCCAGATGGTTTTGATTCAAGGTCAGTAGTGTCAAATGACTCCCTTGTCAGTTCGGTAAATTCAGATTCAGACAACAATGATGATTCTGGAGAAGCTACACCTCTGCAGTACACTAATGGTGTGTGTGACTATGGCTTGAATGGGGACAATTTGGACTGGCTCAAAAGACCTTCCATCTACTCAAAGGATAAGGACACTGAGTCAGTACACTGGTTTAATTTGTTGGCTTATGACAACAGGGTTGCTAACTTGGATTTGAATGATGATGCACCTATCAGACACATCATGGAATTACCCAATTCAAGTTTCCTGCCCACACCAGAAGATCATGCAAAACTCAAAAAAGACTTTATTGTGCTTGTGCTTCGTATCCTAACCAAGCATTGCAAGTTCTTCAGTCAGTTTTCTCACATGGTTCCTTCTCACCTTGCTCATCAATACAGCAAGGAAATGCGTCAGCACTCCCATATTGTAGGTTTCAACTTAACTAATGTTCTGTTCCTTCTGATCAGCTAGTTATTGTTGTAAATGTTATAGCATACAGGTATTCTGATTATTATCATCTTTTTTATTGAAAACCACAACTGGCAGTGCACCTTTATAAACAGATTTGGCTCCAATTTTTCTGTTGTTTTTTTTTCTGTTGCTTCATTACAGAAGTTAGGTATAAGCAAAAGGAATCCAGCAGACCACTTTTTGGATGTATCAGTTTTCTGAATTTTTTTTTATCCTTTGGGGGGCAGGGGTTTGGGGACAGAAAACTTTGAGGTGCTTCCTTGTTATGGGGGGGAAGGGGCATTAGACTTTGGAGATGGTCATTAGGGTGTCATGAAAGTTTATCAGGAATTTTCATTGAAATACCATCAAAAAGCCTTATCGTATCAAGCAGAATGAGCTTACAGACATTACCATGCCCAGTGCTGTTTCTTGTACCGCATCTAGAAGAAGAGTGGGGCCAAGCGCATAAGAAGAATAATTTTGCTACTAAATCAGTGTTATATGTTGCTTCCCAGACAATATTCTTTAATGCTGGGAGGGGGTCATTTAATTTTTGTTGTCTGAGGGGGGTTAAAAGTTATTGAAAGGAGAGCCATAGAGCCCCCACCCCATCCGAAAGGCAATCAAAATAATTAATAAAATGACTGAATGCCATAGTGGTAACATGTAATTTACATGCATGGTTAAAGTACCCTAAAATGGAGCATTGCTCTGTAGCCTGCCGGTTGAATCGGGTGTTGTAGAATATTGCATTTTACCTTCTCAAAAATTTTATTTTTGATGAACAGAAACCAGATTTTTAATTAAACTATCAAACAAGTTCTGAAATTATAATATAAGAAATAGAAATGGTAAAAATAATTATAATAATAATAATAATAATAATAATAATGTTTTAGCTGTGAGACCACTTCAGCAGGTGATCTTCAGTGGGGTTCTGAATGTTATTATTTGGAACACCGATGATAAGAAGGTAATAGGTGATAAATTTATTACTTGTACTATTAGCTAAACCCTTTTTTGAAATCATCAGGTACACTTGGGTCTCTTGGAAAAAAATGAGAATAAAATCCCTGAGATGTTAGAAATTCTTCAGCACTGTAATGAGGAGTATGTTCCAACTAATGCTGACAAGTCCAGAATTCTTCAAAAGATACCGCTGGGCGGCGACCATTTAACTGTTGAACGGGCTGTCAGTGCTGTTAACGCCGTTGCTGATGCAGATAGTCCTTATGAAAGACTCCATGGCCTTGTGCTAAAACATGAAGATTTTCATTGTGAGATGAATTTTCTACAGGTGATAAATAAAGGAATATGCTCCATTTAACATAAAACTTTGTCCTTATTGGATTTCCATTACTGCTTTTTTAATGGTCCACTTTAATATCTTAACAAACATTAGTAACTCTATCTGCACTGGTGGATTATTGGTTATTTTATCAGTAAGAAATTTATTTTTAATGTTATTTTGGATAATCCTATAAATAAAGTATGTATTACTTTAAATGTAAATTTGCAGATGCTGTTTGATTATCTCTACAAAAGCCAGTCAGTGGGAGACTTGGGAACCCTGTATCAACTAAAAACAAGATTGAACAGAAAAGACGTGTGTGACAAAGTAAACAAATCATATCATGGATGTGAAGCATTCTTCAACTCCGTTGTAGATGGGTATATAGTATATGCAGCCATGGTATTTTTTGGCATGGAATCCCCAAACAGTACTCCTAACTCAAACCAACTGGAACCTGGTGCCACATCACAGACACAGTTGTTTGATGCAGTAGAGAAACTTGTGGAGAAGTATGTCCTTCTTGAAGCGCAACCTGCAGCAGTACTCTTCACTGATATACAACAATCAGAACATCCCCATATTTTTAAGTGTAGGTACCCAGATTGTAACAGAGAATATCAACACGAGAAGCGGAGAAACAACCATGAAGTTACAGTGCATGGCCTGAACATAACAAATCATGAGCAAAATGAAAGAAGTCCCCCAGATCCACGCAATGAAGATGGGATTTTCAATTACTCGCATAACATTGTCAAAACGGGTCTTCTTTTCAAAGATTTTCAAGATGCAATTAAAGAGGGTGATGGAGGAAGAGTTGAATACCTATGGAAATTTATGATGCTGTTGTTTAAAGTGAGTGGGAAGACAAAATATGCTTTGGCAGCTGTAAGACTCCACGCACAACTTCATGCACTACTTACACCAAAAGAGGCCCATTCTCTCCGCTGGAACCGTACTGTAAATCTCAAAGGTGGGGTGGGGAGAAACATTGCAATTGATCAAGCCATGGAGCATTGGGTAAGAGACACAAAGCAGCTGATGTATGGCCAAGGTGCAAACCTTTCGTTCAAGGTGGCTCAGACCTACAGCAGGGCTAGTGACGATGTCAAGTCCATCATGAACAATTTTGATCAGACAACTAACGTCCGCAGAGAGTCAACAAAACACAAAAGAGGGGAAGATTCAGACATCACTACCATTGTCAACATTTTAAAGGAAATTGAAGCATTTTGTGAAGTTCCTGGAAGAACGCACCCTAATGTTGGAGCCATCCCTAAAGACCCCATATCTGTTCTTGACTTTGCAGACTTAAATGCATGGTTAACAAAGCACAAGAAGAGCTGGGTAAATTCAGTTTAGATGCACGTTCTAACAATTTTTAGGTCAAGTCAAAAATTTATTCCAAATAGTTGGTTCAGTATGGCCACATAAGGTTTCTCCTAAAAGATTACTAAGGATTTCAACTTTTAACAGATGGATACAGCTCTTTTTCATTTGACCCCACAACAATGGCCTCAGTTGCATGCCCTATAAATTAGTGAAAAGGATAATTATGTTAGTTGGTTGTCATTACAAGTTTCCCTAATAGTGTTATAACCAGTTACAAACACCCTTAATTTTGGCGTCTGTTACCTTAAAAAGAAGAAAAAATTTGTTGGCCGACAGAGCAAGTGAGTCATTTTAAATTTTCGAAAACTAATAGTGGCTATTAACTCTCCCACCCAAATTTCTTCAAAATCTGTGAGAAGGAAAAAATTATTAATTGACTTTGTAGGGGCAAATGAAAAAGCTAGTTTCTAGCATTGATGCAGGAAAGTGATCTTTTAAAACTGTAAGAGCTATTTTGCATTACTTAAACCTTGCAAGTCAAATCAGTCACTGACTTTTATAAAGTCTCTTTCCCTTCTGGCCAATAACAGGGACCCACCAAACAAATGGTACAAAGAATTTTTTCAAAGAAACTGAATTTTTATATTAACGGAACAGCTTCATGTCCCACAGGAAAACCCATTTCACATCTTGTCAAAATCTTTTACAGGAGGCCATATCAAAGCCAAGTCCAGCTGTAGGTATTGAAATATCATAGCCTTAGAAATGTAATTATTCTTTGCAAAATATACTGTTATTATCAAAATACACAGCATACGTGGATGAAAGGCATTGATACTGAAAAACCTGACAAGTGAGATTATATATTAACTACTGCTCCAGACTTTCTTGTTGTAGGTCTGTAAACACCTCACAAAGACAATCATACACTTTGAATGCATGCTGTACACTCAGAACTGGAATTTGTTCAATAATATCATCAACACTAAACAAAAAATCACACTTTGAGGTTGCATCATCAATTATGCGGTCAGTAAAGCCAGTGATTTGGTCAATATTTGAATAAAAACAATGCTGACTTGATTGTAACACTGCCTGACGCATGCTTTCCTGACACTCCTCTAATAGACCCTTTAGGGCTCTTCTATCACTTTCACTTACACTTCTGCCCCTTGGAGCATCATCAGCTGCTGGAAGAGTCATTTTGGAGACCATAGTTCCCTCGTTTTGTGGACAGTCTTGTCCACAAGCACAATCTTGAGCACAGACATCACAGCATAAATGTTTCTTCTCTATTCTTCTTCCTTGACTTGTAACTTTAAAAAAATCAAGAATTTGCCTTCTTCTGCAGGACTTTGACTTTGTGTATTCCAGCATCTCTGGTTTACACTTGCGAAGTTGTCTTCCATGAAAGAGTAGTGCTGCCTCTGAATATGCACCATCTCTACCAGCTCTTCCCATTTCTTGAACATATGATTCTAGGTCTGGAGGAGGACCATAGTTTATAACATGGTGTAATCCCTTTACGTCTACCCCCATTCCAAGGGCATTTGTTGCAATCACAATTCGCACCTTACCAGTTGGATCCTTGAGTGATTGTAATACGTGATCCTGGATGGAAGGTGAAGTGCCACTGTGATACATTGCCACCATTCTGTTTGTACACTTCTTTTCAGCACCATATGGGTAGTACGCCCTGTCAAGCAAACTGCTCATGAAAAATTGGTAGAGCTCACCACATGTTTTATAGTCTCGGACATATATTAATGTCCGCTGACATGCAACGTTCTTTTCGTTTAACTCCCTGGCAAGCCATGTAAAGTTTACAGAAATTTCACTGGTAACCTTCAAAACAAACAGCTTGATGTTCTCTCTGTTTGGACTAACTGATATTTCCAGACATGTCTTTAAACTCAAACTTTTAATGATTTTATCTCTGGTCAAGGGTGAAGCAGTGGCTGTAAGTGCTAAAAACGGGACTTGCTTTGGAAAAAAAGACCTGATCTCACCAACAAGACCACACCACTTTCTGAATGGCTCCTTTCCATCCTTTTTCTCACCCCTAGAGAGACCAGACAAGTGATTTGTAGCTAAAGAGCAATGTTCTACATAAATAATATATCTTACTTATCTACCATGCAAGCAGCAAAAATTATAATAATGCTCTTGTTTAAATATTTTAGAATGACTGTATAATCATAAGATATTGAACAATTCTAAGAACACTATTAAGCATGAAAATGTGCATAATTTTGTGTAAGAAATGCGGAAACAGTATACAACTGCAACATAGTATTTAGCAATTCCTGATAGGGGTTTAACTATAACTGTCCATATTTCTTCAGAAAGGATATGTTAAAGGAGCATGATTCAAAAGAAACTGGCCATGGTTTTGAGTTAGTGGGTAGCAAAACATCACAGAGACAATATTACAATGGAGGTAACATTGTGGCAAGCTTTCTGATACTTGCTTCCAGTATACAATGTATTGTATATACTGTCACGTTTTGACCACCTGAGAGCTTACATTAAGCACATGCAATGCAATTAATTTCTGCAAATATAGGAAACTGTACCTTTCCTACTAGAGAAGACTAACAACTATACTGTACATCTGTCATGTCACTCATGAGAGAATGTTTCCTCTTTACAGTGAGTTAGTAATAACAGAAATTTTTGACATCAGTTTACAGCTAAAAAGCATTATTTCACTCAATCTAATGCAATAATTATTATTGCATTAAGCAGATTTCAAGAATAAATATGAAACAAATAACGCTTTAAGTTTCTTACCAGTGTACAACAGTGTGAACTTCGTCACAGACAACGGCCACAACATTCTGCCTGTAATGCTGCTGTGAAAACATTTCCCGGAACTTTGTGTCCCCAACAAATGACTCTGGGCTTCCATATAAAAAGTGACATTTAATCTTGCCCTCGAAAATATCATTATCTTGTTTAGCACTTTCTCCAATGAAGGCAGCTTCAAAGCCGTGTGACCTCAAGTATGTAACCTGGTCTTTCACGATTGAGCTTAAAGGGGAAACCACAATTACCACTGGCAATGAAGGCATGTCAAATCCCCGGTAAAATAAAGCTTTACAAACGCTAGGCAAGATCTGAAAAGTCAGGCTTTTACCGAATCCGGTGGGCAAAGCTGCAAACACATCCTTTTTAAGGACAACATTCTCAACGATTAAAACCTGCTCAGGCTTCAGTTCCTCGACGTCTGGAAAAGATTTAAGACCTTCAGAGATAGCTTCTCTAATATCTTTCCTTGTTGGAATAATGGCAGCCATGATTCTCCATAAATCACACGTGCGTAGCGTAACCTACTTAACGCGGGTAATTTAGAAAGCCTTCTTACTTTACCTGTGGGAATGCATGCGCGCGTGCATACTTGTCTGGCTCGTTCACCAAAGAAATGCACGCAATCAGGAAACTTTCAGTTACAGAACATCCTCGTCCATTTGAAAATACTGTCTTCCCGAAAACTAACACATGGAAACGCATGTGAGGGTATTTTAAAGCTTGAGCTTTCAAGACGTATTCAATTCAAGCTTTTTATCGATCAGGCCTTCTATTTACGTTATTTACGATACCTTGCGATCGGTCAGAAGCAGAATTTTCTTGGTGCAAATGGGAATAGTCATCCGAAATGTTTTTCCGAGTCATCGATAGTTCCTTCGTTTCTGCTTAGGGAAGCAGATAGTGAAAGTTTCCCTTGCGAATATACACGCACAGCGTTGGTGAACGAACCAGACAAGTATGGCGAGATAATAGCCGTCGTGTACGAACACATGAAAAGAACTCAGGAGATGCTGTTCGCTGATTGGGCACAATAATACAAAGGTTTTTTTGTGCCCAATCAGGAGCCGGCATCCGTTTGAATTTTTGGAAATGGTTCGTTAAGAGTCGGTACCCAGGGGCTCTTTCGCCCGTACTTGAAAACTTTCGTCGCGCCTTTTCTCCCGGCCCGACTGACCGCCCCTGGGTCTCCGAGGATGGTCTGCCGTAATCCTGACTCTACCTCTCTCTACTGCCGCACGTACGCAAGTAAAAATCACAAGACAGTGGAAATTTACCCTTAAACAAAGTAATGATTATCCCGATAACAATTTTCCGATCAAAACCTAGGATTCGAGGGAAATTTCTGTATTGGCTCCCTTTCATTGTCAGGTTTGCTAATTATGCACAAATATAAAACAAAAAAACCCTGCGATAAGATAGAGAGTAAAAAAAGGTCATTATCGACAGTTAGCTATAGCTTGCTATCACTTTTCAAGTTAGTTATTTTGTACAAGTACATTATTTATTCTTGATTTTGCCTCTGTACATTTTCTTCTTTATCTATGAAAGAACAATACTTCGTTTGAAATTTAATTCAGGTGGAACTTTACATTTCCTATTGACAGGATATTACTGCTACTTCTTTCATTATTATCTGCCTTCATATCATGCCACGTGCGTGAGTAATAAATAATTTAACCATTTGGCATAAAATATTCAATCAAACTTTCAGCTCGCTCAAGGTCATTATTCTAACAAAGCGTCACTTGTACCACGATTTCAGACTAGAGCTGCGGCATTAACGTGCCCACTGAAAAAAACTATTTTTCTCCCGCCAAAACATTTAGCCGATTCTTCAAAGAACTACCTAATAACGATTGAACAATGGTTTATGGAAAGGAATATACCGAAAAAACAAGGCGACGCGAATTGCAGGCGAGTTTCAGCGTTGAAAGTTATTCATCCGAGAGCGGTAGCGACGGAGAAATAGGTATAACAAGTTTAACTGATACGAGAAAACCTGACCACTCACATAGAACAAAAACCAGTTTTCACCGGCTTATAAACCAGATGGGTTCAAGCACAAGAAAACTAGAGGAAGAAACTTCAGGGCTTCTACGCGACTTGGTAAGATTTGCATAGAAGACAACTGATCAAAATTCATCAAAAACGTTCCTAAGTTTCATTTATTAAGGTGCTGAAAAATTAATAGTACCACGAGGGTGCCTCCAAGACTTGGTTTCATTTGAGGAATGGCCACAACAAGGATTTCGGCCACGAACTCAAAAGCTCGAACATTTCTTTATAATATTTCTTAGAATACAAGTTTGAGTCAGCTTCCTACAGGCAACCAGCTGCTTCCGTCTGACAGAAGGCAGGAGAAAAGATAATAGGCTGTCTTTCAAAAATACACTGTCAGTAGTTGTAGAGACTAAGTCGAATTCTAAAAAAAAACGGGTGCAGGGTTTAATTTGAGTTTATAGATATATATTTTAGGATTTAGAAATTTAAAACGTTTTGGATTAAATAGTTAAAAATTTCTCCAATAACAGCACAAAACAATAAGATATAAACGCCATGCAATTTCGTGAGAATTGGGTACCGTTTAGACAACGTTAGTATCTGATTATTAACGTCGTTTTCGTCGCAAGAGTAGGTGCTTAATTACCACATAGCAAAACTCCAATTATAACAGACAATGCAAAACACGAAGTTTCAAAATCTTTAATCAAAACATTTTATTTCGGGAGTTACTAAAACAATCACACAACAGGTATTTTCGGTATAAAATTAAAAACAACTTTTTGCTCGTGTTTTTTCTTTTAGTTCTGAACATACCGTGACTTATCTTTTAGTAGTAATTGTAAAAGACATCTGATTAATGGGCAACATCGAGTTATAATTACTTTTCCCGCGTAATTTTAGCTCTTGGAAAGAAATGTCTGCGGGACTATTCTATGTTTTTGACATTTCACCATGACATTGTTTTTCTTTTAATTGCCAGCATTGTTATAAATAATGTTTCCACTATCACTTGCACGCAGTGTTTCTCAAAATAAAGTTTTCAATTTAAGTCCAAAATTGTGTTTTTAACTCCCAACTTGAACGAAAGAGAATCGATTTTCTTTTGATGACATTTACTTGTCCTAGCTCGTTTTAAAATTATCAACAACATGTTCAGTATTGTTCCCGACTTCAGAGCTGTTTCGATATTGCTTTCCAGTTTAAAATATATTCCAAAACTGTCTTTTTAATATAAAAACTTTGAAGCGACATCGCAGTCATTGTTCCTAACATAATGATTTCGATAAAAGCATGTTCAGCATGTTGACCATGTTCTATTGTTTCTTTTATAATCTCTTTATTTTCTTCACAGGATTCTCTTCGCTCGCAGAACCTTAGCACCGGTAGACGACTTCAGCGACTCGAAAAAGTCTCAGACGCCATGAAAGGACAAATGGAGGCTTTTACTCTCAAACAGGGCAGCAAGCCAATGACGTCCTTATAGCAAACCTTAACAACGCAAAAATAGAAAAAAAAGAACGAATTTTTTGAAATTGTACGTCACTTTTTCACATTACTGAGCACCCGGGACTTACATCGATCGTACCAAATCATCCCAGGAACACCCCTAGGGTTCTTTTAAGACACGAGGAAAAGCCCTGGGGATGAGGCTGCACGTACGACACTAAGAATTTCATTCAAACTTGATGTATTCGTGCCATAGCGTTTCCCGGCGTATTTATTAAATTAATTGACCAGTTTCCTCCGAAAGAAGAGCGCAGGTAGAGAGTCCTCTAGAAAACCAAAGCAATAAAATCCCCATGAAATATTTAGGTGCTAATGTTTTGCTTTCGTTTCTATAGATATAACCAAACCCAACTGGGCTTAAGCGCGTTTGATTGAAAATTTCTAAAATAAATTGGCATACCGAGAACGCCGTGAAGTAGTCACGTAGGAGGAATAACTATAATGTATTTATTGATATTACTCACTCCGTTATATTGCATTCCGGCACGCTGCAGTGTACTACAACTGATTTATTTACAATTTGAACCAAGAGTGTAAAATACTGACATTTTTTTGACTGCCTAGAGCATACGATTAGTTTTAAGTCATAATCATTTAATATGTGTGCGAGTTACAAGTACAAGGACGCAAAAATCACTAGAAAACTGCTTATTGCTAAGACATAAAACACTTTCAACGCGTACTTTTTAAGCAAAACGCTACGAAAAAGATAAACAGAATAAAGTCCAGGGGTTTATAACTTTGTTCTACTAACTTTAAAAAGAGAGTGCTGTTTCTGGGTATATGCTGGGCGGTCAACGAGTTACGAACAAGTCTCTTCTCGTTGGACGCTCGATTGGTGCAATCAGGCGAAACGGCTGATCGCAGGCTTCCTGCGAGCAAGCTCTTCAATCATGGCGCGCGAAACAAGCGGAGAGAGAACGCGCTAGCGAGCAGTGAAGCCGCGAGACTTCACGCGACTCCCCAAATGAAGAGCTTGCACGAAGGCTTAGAGAAGAATAACTACAAAAGATCCTCCGCGTGTTATACGTGTACCTCAATCAATCCTCTATCCACTTGCCCTTTTTCCACAAAACGTTTAAAAGAAATAAACTAATCTAGTACCCATTCGCATAATTCATTTAATTTCCCGCCACTGTTGTTGTTAATTTTATCCAGACGACACTTATGGCGAACTATTGCGCGAATGTTTTCTGAAAATGGAGAGTACTAAGAGAGAAAAGTGTCTCGAAGAAAGCTTTTTCAGCCTGGACGAAAACTGAAGCGCAAGGCAATATTAGTTGATCTTTAGAATGTTCAGAACAGAAATCTAATAATCATAACTCATACCGGTATAATCCCTCAGGACTGTGCCTGAATTATTTTGGTAATGATAAAATACATGAAAAACATTTCTTGTATCTGATTGGCTAAGAGCAATGTAGATTTCAGTAAACACAGTACAAAAATGAGGAAACATAATATAAAAACAAGGAAATAAAATGAAAATATTGATCACGTAAATTTTTTCATGTATATCATCAGAATTATATGCTTCTGATATTATTCAAGGGCAATCATACGACTTTCCTTGTTCACAGTTTTGGAATTTATTCGCACTTGTATGTTTTTCAAAAAGCTTAAATTGCATACGCCTGAATATTCATACGCTTTGAAAAACCCACTAACAAAATTCAAATTGAATTCGAAGTGGTATACAGCTATTTCGAGAAAGGTTTTCGGGAAAAGGGCAGGCGACAATCCCGAAAGGTATTGTGGGTGGTTTAGGGTTGGAATTTTGAAAAAATGGCACGAAAAGCCATGGACTGATGTTTGCTAGTGCTAAAAGAAAGCAACGAAAGTAGGTTCGACAGCTACAGTGTCAGGAACAGCTAGTGTACTGATCATATCCCATATTGCCTTTCGGGATTGTCGCTTGCACGTTTTTTCCGACAACCTTTCTCGTGAATAGATGTATATGATTACTTATAAAAAAGTTCCGCCGTACCGTGTTCGCTTATAATATGGAATTATAAAGTCGCTTAGCGAGACAAAAGTCATTTCTCTCGCGAAACGTTTCAACAAAGGGGAGCAATAAGGGGCGGGTGATCCACAGGCTAGAGTTTTTCAGTATGTGGCCGGGAAGTTTTTTCAAGCCTTTGGGTTTACAGTGTTGCCGTTTGTAGAAGACTCAGGAGCAGGGTTCGTTGCAGAGCCTCTCCTGGCTTTCACGATCTTGATAATGAGTACAACAATATCCACGATAAACACCACAAGGGCGAAGAATCCGAACGCCTGAAAAAAAGAGCGTGCAAAATTTAATACGCATTAAGCGTTCCACGTACTAAGTTCAAGACGAAAAGTTTCGTTTCGGGAAATTTTAATAGGCGCTATAGAAAGTGCTATAAAGAGGAGGTTTGTATTTGATTGGTCAGCAGTTTTGAGCCACTCGCTTTAATACTTATCGGTAGAAGGAATTGAGATTTCTTCCTAGATACATCAGAACACGGAGCTCTTCTCCCTGAGAGTGCAATTCGCTTCAATTCGCACAACGGCGTTTCGTCAAGAAAGTTTATTTTTAGGTTAGCCTTTCCCGCAATATTCAACTGTTCCCGACGACCTCCGCATCTTAAAATACAAAACTATGAAAATGGCGACCAACGATGCGCGAATGGTTCAATTAGTATGTAATTCCGTTCTCCATCGGGCTCCTGACTAGGAGTTATAAAAGACGCCGGCGAAACTGAAATTCACGACCTCCTAACATGTCTTACTTAGATTTTTCTGTTCTCTGACCAACCGAGTTATGAGACTAGTTTTGGAAGATGTAATCTACGGAGCGAAGTTGCGAATTCATATCTCACTAAAGGTGAAAAAAATTATTTTTCTTGAATCCTGCCAGCACATGCCTATTTCCGTTCTGGGACGCTCAAATTCACTTTACTTTCCGTCCCAGCGCAAAAGCTATTCCGTTATAACTTTTGTTGTTTTAAAGTGAGACGTTTTGCCTTCATTACTTACCACACCAGCCGCCATTGTTTGATAAAATCTTTTAACATCAGCCGCAGCTTTGCTTTCGGCTTGACCTAATTGACTTAACTGTGACGTCAGCTGTGACGTCGCTACTGTCCCGTAGTAGTTAGCGACCTGTCCCACCAAGGAAGCACTAATAAGAATCAGCAGCGCCCATAAAACTTCAAACCCCAGAAGCTGAAATAAGAATTAGCCGCAAGTCAATTGGCTATTATGAAGTTCCGCGTGAGACTGGGCATGGGTCGATACTGTGTCGCACTGCAATGGAGGATTGTTTTCGAGGACAAATTTTAACACAATTTCCAGCCAACGCTTTAAGGTTTTTTCTCTTCACCAAGAGAACACGGAGAGCCGCAAAATTCTAGAGCAAAAACCTCTCTTTCAAATTGGCACACTTAATCCCCGAGGAATTAACGAACGCGCCTTCCATTCAACTTAATTTTTACGTTACCATGTTTCCACCAAGAACAGAGCTCCAATGGCATAAGCCTGACACAACCCACAATTCGCTCTGATGAAGGTCCTAGTGATCGAAACATCGGGTTTTTTTTCATCTCCCTGGTGGGCGGGAGGGGGGGAGAACAGGCGGGCGCCGGGGGGCCAAGGAGAATAGGGAGCGGGAGGGATGCATAAGGAGGGAAATGAAAGAGCGGGAGATGGTAGTAGCGGGAAGGGGGAAGTTTTGGGGGATATTGCGTATTTATACTTAATATTTCGCAATCGAACAAAGGGCTTAATTAAGAGATAAATCCAGGAAGAAAAGGGGCGGAAGCCGGAAATGCAGGGTACTAAGGCGGGAGGTTTGGACCCCCCTGTTCCCCCACTAGCTACGGTGGCCAATCAGTAACTTATCAATTCAGTTGAAATCTTTGCTGCCTTTTCTTTTATACCAATAACTTAGTTTTTTGAAATTGTAAACAGTACCATAGCATACAGTATGCTAAGCCTTATTATATAGCATAATCCGCCAGCGGGCAAGATGAAGCGAATTCTGCGTTCTAATTGGCTACCCGTTCAAGGATTTCCCACGTTGGTCCCGAAAGAAAAAGTTCTCTTTTTGGCGATATAATTAATCCTTTATTGACCAAACTTGTTCAGTCAAGACAACTGTATCTTGGCCTCGTTCTTGTTTGCGCTTGGTCAATAACGAATAAATATTTTCTGTATCACTTACGAGAAATCTTGAGTCGAAATTCTTTATCAACTTGTCCGCTAGCATCAGAAGATAGATAGCATAAAAAACCATGATACAAAGCCAGCCAAATATTAACACAAAAAGAAAGAAGCCATATCTTCCGTTGAACATCGTCCCCGAAGGAAGTACGCAGCAATCAGCCATACAGGCCCAAGATATTAATAGGAAAAGCTTTAAAAAAAGAACAATACAACATCAACATTTACTGGCATTTTCATGAGTAGATGGCATTGCCGATTACAATATGGATTATGTTAAGGTAAAGGGAAAAAAACACAAAGCAGCCTAGACGAACAGTTATAAATATGTTTGGATATTAAAAAAATTGAAATAAAAATAGCAAGGATTACAATCCCAGCTGGCTGGAGACAAACCAGTTGGCTATTCAAACGTGACCGAGGAGTTGACCTGGGGACTACCGAGAACAAATTCAGGATACGGTTAGGGCGGTATTGATCTCAGGGTCTTCAGGTTGCAATTCCAGCGTTTTGAACAGCTCGGGCACGCTATCTCCCGATGCAGAAAGAGGACAGATCATTACGAAACGTTGTTACTGAGGGAGCTACGTAGCCGGTATAATAAACGCACTCCCAAACGACGTAAAGAATTTATTTCAAACTGCAGAGGTTGTTTTGACTGTAAAGACATTATGAAACAACTTTTTGTTACTTAAATGGGTCTCTGCACATTTTCAGGTTCAACAAACAACAAAGCAAACAACAAAGCACTGTTGTGGATAGTATTCCATAGTTGTGTTTTTTTTTTGTTCCGATTTCGATTTTGTCCCGCTGTATTCAACAGGCTTTGGTCCGGCTTGAGAAAGGTCGATTGGCGCAAATTCCTTATCGGTTACCTTCTTTTCGTTTGCTTTGTTTTCTACATTATTTTTGTTTTTTATTATTCTTCAATTGTGACCACCACGTGGGCAATGGATCCCCGGGGCTTTTGCCTTAAAAATTGGAGGGGCGCGCCTGTTACAGTGATATGGGCATTCCCGCGTTTTGGACATTCCCCATTCCCAAAACCCTAGAGACATAGGCTTCCCTTCTCATATTACCTTAGCGATTTGGGTTAGCGGGAATGCCCATGCATATCACTGTGATACCCACACCCATCCCATATTTTAAGGGAAAAGCCCTGGGACGAGCTTCATTGAAAACTTACAAATTCGAGAACTTTGCAGATTCCAAGGATTGACTTAGCATATCCCAGGTCAACGTTGAGCGTAACTTGGCGGACTTGATCTTGCGGCATATTTTTCCTTTAGCGTTTTTCCTCTTAGATTTCTATGAAAAAAAATTAAATAATAATAAGCTAATAACAATATGATGACAACGTCAGACATCTAGAGACAGAACGTTTCATGAAAACAGAAAGGTTAAACTCTTCCATGGCTGGATCTCCATCTAGAATTAGATCAAGGCCACATGTACATTTCATTGTGGAAACGTTTGAGAACACGTGAATGGTGCTGAAAAACAAATCTGAAAATAGACTGAAACTGAGGGGCGTTTTATCTTGTATGAGTAGCCTATGGGTGTTACTTGGTAATGAACTCTTGGTCGCTATTATATGAAAGATTATTTCAAAAAGGATTTTACATCTAGCAGTCCATTCCAAAAAAAGGACTCTATCCACAAAAATCGCCACGGAAAAGGAGTACTTTACCCATCTGACGTAAAAATAACTCATTGAGTTTATTGGTCACCAGGATCTCAGTTAGATCAGTCGCAACGAACAAATAGAAAAGCAAGCGCGAAATAGAAGAACTGGCAATAACCCCGCGGTCGATCTCTCCAGTCTTCTCTCGGATTTTTTTGTCGCGCATGCGTTTCCCTTAGCTTGGAATAATTCTTACCTTACCTGTTGTATTAATGCATACACATTGTTCAAGGTCAAGGCTAGCTATTGTTTCATCCAAACAAGCGATAATTGTAGAGAGCATTAGGTTAACCTTTTGTCCTTGAATGGGTATATTAAAACATTTTAAATGCAGCATTGATTAAAAAAAAACTTGAGTAATCTTTATCTCTGAGCAAAGATTTCAATCAAATAGAGAGCAGCTAAGTAAAACAGTTTTTTAATACAATTTTATTATTCCTGGTCGAATACTAATCAAAGTGCACCTGGCTTTGTTTGCCACAAAAGTAATAGAAAGCAATCAGTGACTTAATTGCCTAGCAACATCACAAAACAAAAAGCCTACATTTGAGGGTTCTGCATTTAGGTACGGTTTTAATCGCATTAGCCTGAAATTGAATTCGCCCAATGCTCGCAGCCACCTGCCTTTTTTTCACCTCCATAGTGACAGAAAACTATATTCAGAACAAAGGAAATTAAAAATTTTCTCTCTGACCAGTGTATAAAGTCAACCTCTTCTAGCCTTTTACGATTTTAAACTCTAAGCCCAACTCAGGGCTGCTTATTAAAACAGATTAAGACAGCGTTTTAAAAAAACACTTTCTCGGCCGTTTTCAGTAGTTTTGCCAACCATGATATCTAAACGCTGTTTTCCGTTAACAGTATCGAAGCCTCAGTACGGTTCAGGCTAGAGAACCAATAACCAAGTAATCTTGTTAGAATAATCCACTTGTAAACGAACTTAGGAGCGGGGCGCTTTTTTGAACTGCACACCAAGATCAGACAAATTTACAAAACTGAATTACCGAAACAAGGAGGAGAAAAATATTAAGTTAGTTTCACGGAAATGTTTTTTAGTGTATCAAAATAAGAAGGAATTCAATCTTTACTTGTCCACTGGATAATGTCAATAATTATTCAGACCAGCTTACAGAGAGATTTCATTGAATTTGTACATCTATATGTAACTTAATGTAATGATATTTGTACAAATTTGTACAAATATTTTCTTGCATTTGTGTTGGTATTTTATTCAAAATTAATCATGGCGACAAGATTTCACTTCTAAATACCCCTTTAGTTTGCCATTGGTGGGAAGCGATGTTTTGTACTAAAACGTACATTTGCTGAAAGAATTTTCAGTTCGTTTTACGAGACTGAATTACTAAAGCCGGGCCTTAATGCGTGCACCGGGTTCATATTCGCTCTCCATTCCACATCTTAATTCTTATCATCTCATTGGTTGTCCCTCTGGCTTATCTTTCTAAGATACGCTACGCCTATTTTACCGGGGGCCATATTTGCCAACCGTACCGTGTCGAGATAGTAGAGCAGGATCGCCAAAAGAATGATATTTCACATAAATACCAAAGAAACCTGAATCATTTCCGAGTTTCAGCGTTGCTTTGCCATGGACTTTGTTTGTTACCAAACACCGTCACTACTACAGCCGATTATTATTATTATTATTATTATTACTATTTTGCTCTAAAAAAACTTTCATACATTTATGCCAAGAAGTTAAAAACGTACGTACATTTTTGTTGATTAAGAATTCATCGAAATTATAAAATGTTCTTTAATTTAGCTATGTGTAAAAGACGAAAACTAAACAGAAAGTCGAGAATAGTTTTTGGTATCAAAAATATTTTCCGTTGCTTTACATCCGAATTATATTGGATCGCAAAAGAAAGCAGCCGTCCCGGACAGTTAAGAAAAGGCTCTTATTATTGACGGAAATCCATGCAATCATACTGAACAAATTCAGCACCAGTTCTTTGTACCGTTGTTAGGGTACTAGCACTACAGAGCAGAAACCTAACTTCGCTACCAAACAGCCTAATCTGGTTAACTAGGGTGCTAAGATGTCTCGTCGGTCAAAACACTGCTTTTCTCCCATATCAATACATACATCAAATACTAGAACAAAAGCAATTGCAATCCAATTTGGTCCACATCAGTTTAATATGAAAATGCAATGAAATTTCAAGCTTACCTAAGCGATTTGTTCCAGGAACCTGTTTTGCGAACCAAGTACGTTTGGTGTAAAGTGAACTGATATTTGCATTTGTACTGAACGACACGAGTTACAATACCAGGTCTTTTGTACTTTTAATTAGGTATCTACCATCCTTGTTTATAGCGCCCAAAGATCTTAGCAACCCAACCATAAAAACCTACACTGCATATTTAATTATAAATCTTTTCAGCCGCAACCATGGTAACTAGATGCATGCTTTGAACTCCATGCAGGTCAATTATGCAAAATTCTATTTCTACCGATATTTAACAGGCCTTGTTAATTAAACCCACGTTGTTTTTGTTTCGTTCTTTTTTGAACTAAAAATAATTAGTAGTCGATCTTAACTAGATTTAGTGCAAGGTAAGGTTAAGGGGCCTTCTTTCTGAGAGTCTCTTTGTATTTTCCGAAAAATTTCGCCTAAAATATATGTTCTCGAACTACTTGCCGCCGATTTCTGGCGTCTATAAATGCTCTTTTAACCGAGAACAATCGAATAAAAAATTTGGACGTTTTTGGCGGACCAATATACAAAGGGCTGTTTAATTTGTCTAGTTAGTATCGTAACTGTACAAAGTGAGTCTCGGAGTGCTTGTCTGGCAAGCTGTTCTTGACAGAAAAGAGCTAGATTTTGCTATTGAGAATTGGTCGATTTCAGAATTTCGTCAACGAA